GAATTCCCTTTTATATTGACTTTGGTTATAAATTTCTAGGAAATAAGATCTGTATTCTTGTGACAACAGACCAAAGCGAATATGGTTTTGATACAGGCTGGCAAGGAGTACTAAACCTGGCCATCAACACCGCCTAAATAGTTTACCAGTCACTGTCGAGTTCTTCACCTGCACGCACAATTGCAAGTCCATTCAGGCTCAGGGAACAACAACAAAGGGTTTTATTTAACAACCCAGGGAGAGTCCGAGAGTTACCGAGGCATATAATGGCCTTTACCTCACCCAAAGCCATGTCCAATGTTTTCCAGTCCTGCCCAAAAGTAATTAAGGTGGCATCTTCTCCCCACTGAGGATGCAGAGCTCCTCTCTAGAACAGAAGGCCACGTATCTAAAACAGCATCTTCCTGCCACCGCGAACTTGAAGCGGCCAGACTATCGACCAGATTCTGACTCACAGAGTCAACAAAAGATACAACAGATGCTTTGTGAGCTGCTAGGCTGTCCCAGCACAACACTTGAGAAGTAGCGGCTGAATGACACACAAGAGGCTGCACTCACGCATCTCAGCAAGATTCCTGGCTCTAGGTCTCCATCTTCTCCTCCAAGCCACAAAAGCCTTCTAAAAGATCAGCATGGTGGGGTTCCACATCGGCTAACCCCAAATGCTAAATTACAAAGTCTGCCCCCGGACCCATTTGCTCTCCATTGTACTACTTAGCAGTCACTCCACCCCACTTTTTGGCATTTTTCCTGGGCTATTGATCCTCACCAGTAAACCCCCGTTCAGGGGGCACCACCTGTAACAGTGCTTTGGCTTCAGCCACCAAGTACAGTGTTGTGTCTCTAAGGCTCAGGATTTTTCTCTTGAAATTGCCTTAGGCTAAAAGTGTTCCGCTGAGTTGCTGGAGGTTGTAGTGTAAATCCCCACTCTACCAAATATTCATACTTTTGTTAGTTTTTTTTCTGTAATTGTTGAAGTTTTACTGTGCATTTAGTATAATTAGGTGGTGTAGGAGATAATGTGATGTGGAGGAAAGGGTATTGGGCTAGAAGTTAGAAGAACTGGAGTCTTAGTTAAGGTTCTCTTACAAGCCCGATTCAGGTTTTGGGTATTTTCTTTCTGCATTTCAGTTTTCTCATCTAGACAATGAGGGGACCATTATGGGTGTATACTGAGGTTCTTCCATCTTGTTGCAAAACAAAAGTTATGTCTCTTGCTTTGGAAAATTTTTAATCTTCTTAGGGAGAAATTAAAACCTCACAAGTAGGAAATGTCTAGAAAAATAAACAAGGGCTAAATTATTTGGTTCTGACTATGGAGTTTTAAGCAAAAAGACAAGTGCCTCAAAGTAATTGAAGGCAGATGAGAAAAGCTGGCAAAAGCTTTTCTCTGGAGGAAGGTGATGGTAGATTGTTTTTTGACTGTAGGTGTCATGATCTCCAGCTACACTACCTGAAAGAGGCACACATGTAGTCTGCATTCTACCACCTTAAAGTACATACAAATGTATATCCAGGCTGAAGGCCCCCTTCTCTGAGTCTGGCTTTAGTTGAACATTTCCTAAAAGCTGGGGCACCTCTAGGGGCCCCCTGTCCATGAGGCAATTCCATGACTGTTAATCTCCTTCTTACACATTAATTATTTTAGAGCCAACATGTTTCTCTTGAACAATAATCCTCCTTTTCTTTAGCTAAGGCTCTAAAGAAAACATATGCAAATTCTGACAGGTAGAAATGGGTTTTGGACAAGGTTCTAAGGCAAAAGCTCTGTGACTATTATATAAATGCCAACCCAATATAAAGCAGCTCATCAGTTTAGTTCAGAGAAGCAAAGGATACTCAAAAAAATCCTGCGCTGCTACATAGAACCTGACATTGAAGGAATCTGCCTTTTGTCCACAAGTCACACTCTGATTTGATCCTCAAATTCTGCTGCCAACTGGCAAGTTCTGGCCAAAATAGTGTATCTCCTTTTAGATTATTGTTTAAATGTCACTTCCTCAGAGAGGCCCTCCTTGATCTTGTCTTTCTAAATTAGATGATTCAAGATGACCACTCAGAGAATCCTGTTCTTCTCTGAAACTTCTCACAATTTATATTATAATCACATCTCTTTGTGTGTACACCTACTATCCATTCACCCCCATATACCATGGGCTCTCTGAGGGCAGAAACAAAATTTGTTCTGTCCACAGCTCTGTGTGCCCAGCGCCTGGCATAGGGTAAAGCATAAAATATCGCCATTAGATAAAAATTGCGTCTCAGTGAATCAGTCACTTTTAAAAAACTACGTAGTGGTTCAGATCTTTTGAAATGCATTGTGTGGTTGCATCTTATATTTGAATCCTCTAAATTTTTAATAAATTTCAATACTTATCACATCTCTCTGCCCATACAATAAGGTATTTTCTATTGGTTAAGTAGCCAATATGTAGAAAGGCAGTACAATGTAGTGGTTAAGGTCTCAGATTCTGGAGCCAAACTGTCTGGATTTAAACTCCCCACTCTACAAATTTCTAGTCAAGGGATGTAGGGAAGTTTACTTAACTTCTCTGTACTCAGTCTGCTCATCTATGAAACAGACATAATAATAGTATGATGAAGTAATCATGAGAATAAAATGAGTGCTTAAAACAACTAGAAAATAGGGTGCATTATATTAATTAGCTGTTAATATTGTTATTCCCTGAAGAAACAAAATTATTAAATATTATATAGTCTGTCCGATTTCACATCAAACTATACAGTCTCCCTGAAGGACAACCATCTCTAACTGATGGATGGAAAATCTGAGACCTAGGCAGATAATGAGTCTTGCCAAAGAATTTCATCTAAAAGGAAGTGCCTGGAGTCTCCAGTGCTTTCAGTTTCCACAGGATTCGCTTGCTACTGCCCCCCACAGATTCCCACAGTGCTCTGATTCCCATAGAGCTAGGACTAGAAAAGGTTGAAGTGGGAGACACAGTGTCATGTGTAAATGAGAACTGCTGAGCCAGTGAGCCAGCCGGGACATCAGAGCTCCTCTCCCCTTGGTGACAGCCAGGCACTGGGCAAAGAACCCAGGCAACTCTCTGAATGTCCTGATTCGCCTCTGCCTACCTGCTGACCAGTTTAGGGTGGCCAGCGGCCTCTAAATACTGTTTGTTGGCCCTTGCTTGGTGTGTGGCCATACACTGAGCCAGTGGAGACTTTATTTCTTAATTCATAAGTTAATTTGTTTAAAAACTGAACAACAACAAATCTAGGTCATTACAATGATCTCATCTGCCTAGAGGGTAACTAATGAACATATTAGCACTGATTATCCCTAGGAAATGTCACTACAGGTGATTTTTTTAAAAACAGGGGGATAATGCACAAATCATAATATCTAAAGTGCACTTACCTTAAATTTATAGTTTGATTTTTTTTTAAAAAAATCACAAACACCTGTATAATCAATATATAAACCAAGATAACCAAGGTTAAGACCAAAGTATAGAACATTCTCTGTACCTCCAGACAGCTCCCCATGTCTCTTCTCAGTGGCTCCTGCCTCCACATGGACATAACCACTGTTCTGATTTCTGTCATCAGAGTCAGCACCTTCTAGTTGTCTCTGACCTTCGCCTCTGTCACCATGTCTAGTGCACAGTGACCCCTCCCTCTTCTCCATCCATCTAAAACACATCTACTATTCAAGGCTCTCTCATTTCCACTCTCCCTGAAGCATCCTCTGGTTTGCCCAGCAGGTCAGCATTGTGAGCATCTCACATAACAACAACAACAATAATTATAATATCCCCTGAGTTATAATAATATAACTGCTTTTCCCTAGGACTGTGTCTAATGTGTCAAATCCAGATCTACTGGTACATTCATGCCGGGCTTTGAATGCTTCAGCCCTTCTGCAGAGTGGGAACAAAGTGTCTCCAACATGAACCCCCTCCCCCACCATGCCCTGGGAACCAGTCGGTGTCCCCATGTCCCACAGTGGGCAGTGCACCTGAGGCCCTGTTCTTTGTGCCAGCAACCAGCTATGTGACCTTGAATAAGTCATTGAAATGAAAACTTTAGGCCTCAGTGTTTCTTATCTGTAAAATGAGGGCATCAGATTAAGACTAGGAATAGCAGCTAACAGGCAGAACTCAGCCTTTTAAACATTCCCCAATTTAAACCTTGTAGTTGTCTTGTAAAAGTGGTATTATAATGGCTAATTTTGAAGAAACAAAAGGATAGGGGGAGAGTTGCCTAACATGTTAAATAGCAAAATCACAGAGCTGGGATGCTAACCAAGATCCAGCTCAGTGCACTGGCTGCGCTTGCAACCAGTTTTCTATACCTGACCATGGTCACTGTGACCTGCTCTTCCAAACAGGTTCTTAAAACATGGCTCTGGTTCTCTTTGGGAATTCAGTGAAAAGCATGAGTATAAATAGCAAGGTAAAAAGAGTGACCATGGGCTCTAGTGGGAAGGGTAGACCAGAGCGACATTCTCCCAAGAATAAAGAGTAGAAGCCTCTCAGAGCTGTTGCCATCAGGCAAGGGAAAGGACCCAGTTGTTCTAAAGGGCCGTGGGGGAGAGGGGAAAAGTTGTCATATTTGAATCTTCTTCACGCATGATCTGGACACTAAGCCATTTTTTAATTTAAGAAGCACTATCGAGCTACTCATGTGTACATTAAAAGAAGTCAGACCTGCTGCTTCTAAACTCACTGTGTTGAGGGAGAGACAAAGGGAAGCACCCTCAAATAAGAGACTTGTGCCAGGCAAATAAGCATCTAGGAAGAGATGGGACAAGAGCAGGGAAAGGGAGGGAGGACCCGGGTGTTACAGGAGGTGCAACCATAACTTTGCAGGACAGAAAGTAATGAAGCAGAAAGGGAGAGGCTAGTGTGTAAGAATGCAGGAGAAAGGGCGTAAGGATGCTAGAGGGGAGGGGTCATGTTGCTCACGTAGGTTCAGGAGGCATGGACTCCAAGTTCCTGGTGTTGCTCTATCTGCAGAACTCTAGGACTCACCTGTTCTGAGAGAGGGGTGCTGATAGGCTGCTGCTCAGAAATGAAGCTGAGGTCTCTGGGGTCTTCTTGACTTGATTAGTCTCTAGCACAGGGAATACCCAGGTCAGCGATTACTGCTTTTTCTCCTCCTAATATAGCATTGTCTTGGCAATACTTATTTATCAAAGACTTTAGCCACCATCTGCTATTATAGACCACTCCCAGTCCCCCCCATTTTCCTTCTGATACTGTTTCTCCAAACTATCCTCACAGATATGTGCTCTTTCATAAGACTGGGGCTAAAACAATGCTGGTGTTTCACTTTAAATGCTTGCTTGTTATTATTATGACTGCCACCATCATTTGACTGCTAAGTAAGTGGACAGGGAACCAGTAAATTACTTTTTAAGGCCACTCTAAAATCCGCCTAACATTTCAAACCATCTTTATGCCTTTTCAAAACAAATTCTTCCATCAGACTAAAAGCAATTCATTTCTGTGTCATTTCCACCTTCCTCCCACACACGTGGCTAGAGAGGCCAGCCTTTTGGCTTCTGTTACTCAAAATACATATGTGTGGTTGTATCTACCTGCTTCATTTTGCAAGTCTAGTAAAACTGACTCAAACTACATTTTAAAACCACAGCAGACTCATTTCTTTCTCTGGCACCAATCTCGTAACTCTAAGACCAAATCCTGATCAAGAATTGAATTTATACACAATGTACTTGGCCTATTGGGGGCGAGGGGGTCCAAACACAGCCAGAACCAGAGAAGTTTCAGAATGAGTCATCCTTCTGAATTGCAGATTTGAGGCTAAAAGCAAAGTATATAGAGATGATATCACCTGTCTCCTTTCTACTTCAGCTGGAAAAACCCCTGGGTTTGTCATTTTTCATCACAGTATATTAAAAGAGGGGGTTTTACAGCCTTTTCCCCTTCAGCATTTTCTGGAGAACATTTGGGAATATCTAACTTCCTAGCCTTCAGCCCTAGACACATTGATTCCATAGGCCTAGAGTAGAGTCCTGGAGCCTATTTTTAAAAGTTCTCCAGTTTATTCTGACATGTGTCAAAAAGTGAAAAGCACTGCTCTTAACCTTGCCCATTTTTCCAAACAAAAGAACATGTTGCCTTGGATTTGAGGCAAAACTTAACTCTAAAGGAAGCTCAGAGAGAAGTGGACACACTCCTTCAATGTCCACACTTAGTTTTAACATTTCATCAGTATTCCTAGGCTAGTTGACCCTTGTTAGCACATTTTTGGAAAATTTATTAAATCACATCTGTTAATAAAAGATCTCTTTACATCAATGGAGTTTTTGAAGGGTGTAAAATTGACATGGGAGTGGCATGTAGAAATTGATGGCATGGACACTGAGCTGTATTTCCCCACTTACCTTTCAGAGAGGGAAAACAAGGGTGTTTTCTAAGTAAATAAATTAACAGTTACTAGTTTTCTAGAGTTAAGGGTCTTTTGGTGAAGTCATACATTCAAACAGCCTAAAAAGTATCATACTTCATCTCTGCTTTATGGATAAACCCTGAATTTCTTCCCATTTAGCCCCCAAGCACGTATCTTTACACCATCAGCCACAGACTGGCCCCCAGGTCCCACAGCCAAACCTTTGCAGCTCAGTCTTGCTTGTCTTCTAGGACAGAGGTCTTCTCTTCTATTCCAAGGGGCCCCCACTGGAAACCATGAGTTCCTGGAACATAGGTTCAACTTAGCATTCAAGCATGGTGAGAAGAAGAAACTCCTTCCAATGTCTGTTCTGCCAAGGGGCCAGCAAGCAGCTCTGGTAGTGGAAACAAGTCCACAGACCACGGTTTTGCAAAGACTTACACTTGCTTGTCCTCCTCAGTGATGCTAGTCTGGCCTATTGGACAGATACCTTGCTGCTGTTCACAGCACTGCAAGGAACCTTGCCTTCTTGGGTGCCATTTCCATTTCCCGTCACAAGTTCCACCCTGGCTGCTGGTCCTCCAGAAAGTGCATTCCTTGGATGGAAGAGCAGTAGAGGGAGTGTGGGGAGAAGCTTATGTGTGATTAGATGGTAAAGTAACAAATGTGATTTTAAATCATCTCATGGGAAATGCTGAAACCTGAGGAAGCGAAGAGGCTGCACTTAGATAGCAAAGCCGCTGGCATCCACAGCAGACTCCCAGCCTTGGTAGCGGCACCGGCTGCTTCCTGCGCTGACCCAAGAGAGCAGAGCCACTCCCCTTCACATGGTGCTTTCCTGGCCTCTAAGTCCTCGAGCCACAATAAAAGCTTGACTTCAGTGAAATGTTGCTATGGCCCTTCCCCAATGGAACCTGTCCATTTTAGTTTTTGCACTTTGGAAAATTTTAATTGAAAAAAGGTTTTGAATAATTTCCACATTCTTCATACATCTCAAGAGCAGACCAGGTCTTATTAAACACCAGTTTGAAATGAAAGCACAAAAATGTTTTGTCAAACATCAGATTCATTAGAAAAGAGGAGCAAGACCATGGGACCTGGAAGAGGGGGTTTTGGGGAGCAGAAGCGGTGCACAGGAGCACCCGTCCTGGCTCCCCTGAGTCTACCTGGTGCCCTCAGGGCTGGAATGGGAACTGTCCTTCCTTGCCAGTTTATATTGCAGGAGACTGACTGGATACTTCTAGGCATTACAGCCCCAGTTATTCAAAGCTTCCCAAATCAAACAAAAAGCAGCTTCTTCAGGCAGGATTCGGTTCTTATGAAATGTTACCCTCTCCCTGCAGGAACCGCAAATTTCAAAGAGAGTTCAATGCTCCAAGGAAGAGCTCAATAATGTATCCCAGGATCTCTGCCCTGATAGTTCTGGTGTGGTAAGAAGGGAGACTACTTGGAGTACTGACTGAGAGAAGGGAATCCTTTCATTCAGGGGTGTTGCCTGAGCACCCCTGGGGTGTTGTACATGAAGCCTTATCATCACCACTCCAAAGAATCTGCACAGCTACAAAAGAGCTGCTCTCTGCTTCTAGAAGCTACCTTTCCATTTTCTTTCTCCCCTTCCAGCGTATACTCTGGTATCACAGTTCTCAGAGGCAGCTGGTGGGAAACAGCCTGGGGTTGATGTCAGAGGGTTGTCTCTGCTGCTGGTAAGTTTCGTGTCTTTGTACCAATTTCCTCAATTTCTCTCAGCCTTGTTTTCACCACCATGGAGAAAGTAAGAGCCAGGCCAAGAGACCTCTTAGCTACCATCAAGCTCTATAATTCTGTTTGAAAATAGAAATACCATGAAACTCATTAGCCATCTCTTTGTTTGCAGATGCTCAGTCGTCTCCACACACTATTGGTAGATGGTGGGATCTTTCCTCTCCTATAACTATTTGCTGATGGATGTTTCAGAAGTTACTGAGTTTAAACATGGTTATTTCTGCAGCAGTTGGGAATATCTTTGCTCTTGGGCTGACAAAGTATCAACGCCTGCACTATTTGAGGTGGGGCAGATGTTGAGGATACAAAGGGTAAAGGCACGTAGGGAAAGTCATGTTCTAGAACTGCACTTCAGCACCCACTACTCACCCCTTCGTGCTGGTTGTTCATGAGGTGTACTCAATGGTGTGAAGGTCATTCCAGAGAGTTTTATGCATTATATGGGAGTAGACTCTCCTGGCTCACCCTGACTAGCTTAAGAATCTCTTAAGCTTCTATTCTATGTCTTTCTGTGATTTCATTCTTTTCCATAGTTTTTGTTGCCTTCCACTTGATATGACACTTAAATCTTTTTCTCTAACACAATTCTTTCATCTGTGTTACAGACTCATACACCCACTTATGTAAGAGTTCCAAATCTCCACTCATTAATACCTCACAGATATTTCAGAAACTGAGCTAGTCATTTCTGTCCCAAAGCCCTATCCCCTCAAATTCTCCCCCAGATTTCCCTGTTCAATAGTGTCACCATTTACCTACACACTTAAGTCAGAAATCTAAATATCACCGAGGAGTCTCCTTTCTCTCATCCCCATACCCATCTTCCACCACGTGTTTCTGTCTTGACCTCCTGGAGCCCCTCTGATTCTTGATTTCACTCCATCTCCCTGGCCACCATCACGACAAGGTCACAATCTCCAAATATCAATGACTTCCGAACAGTCCTCACGATCACTCTACTACTCTCCACACAGCAGCTCGAATGCTGTTTATAACAAACCTGTGACCAGAAAACACCTCGCTGAAACCCCTTAATTTTCTGCCAGTTGCTGTTACAACAAAGCCCCGGCTCCCAGAAGTAGCTTACGGGCTTTTCATGATTTGTTGGCTCAGTGGTAACAACGCCCCACCCTACTCCATTTTCACGCCTCGTGCTTGAACATACCATACTCTCTTCCAACGCAAAACCTTGTAGATACTGTTTTGTTTTGTTTTGTTTTGTTTTTTGCTTTCTTATGTTTTAGTTTTTCCCTCCTCACTTACTGATTTTGAGTTATCCTTTACTCCTCAGACTAAATATCAGTCCTTTGAAAATACATTCCATGATCATCCCAAGCAGGATAGATACTCATGTGATGTCCTGTCATGAATTCATTTATTCATTCTTTCAATACATATTTATTAAGTACCATCTAGGTGCCAAGAGCCCACAGCCTAGTGTGGGAGATGATACTGAGCAAGTAATTTTTAAAATGACAATTAGAATTGTGATGACAGATCTCACAATAGCACACATCTAGACAGAGAGCAATTGGCAATCAGCCCTGTGCCTTGGCAGCTGGCTTATCAGGTCACTTCACGAGCCTGGTGAAAATGTGACACACATTCTATACCACTGGGCTTTGGGGTTCTACTTGAGAAATTATGGGAGGATTATGTATGACCAACTTCAGTAAGAAAAACAAAAGTTATTAAGTGCTTCTATCACTGAGGATATAAGAAGTGGCTTCTTCAAGCCACTTGTTTATTGCCTTCATTTATTTGTCTAGTGTTTAATAAGCACCCACTATGTGTATATGCTGAGCACTGAGGCTGCAAACATGGAAAGACAAAGCTCTGCTCTCTTGAAGCTTATAATCTAGAGGAAGTCATAGAAAATAAACAGTAAAATAATTCATATGGAAGGAAAGGAATATTCTCCAGAAAGTAGCATATTTTGCAAAGGTTCCTGCTGCTTCAGACAATCAGGGAAATTGATGACACAGACCAGTCATTGTGCCCTTTGACTCAAACTCCTCTTTCATTGCTACTTCCTAGGGGCCCACCTGTCCCAAATAACGACATGCATGAACACCTTCTTCCCCAATAAACTACAACCCTCTGCCTGCATTTCATAGCTAGATATATGCATCTGTCTAACAAGTTTTCTCTGTGCTCCTTAAAAAAAGTGTGACCATGGTTATTCTGGTATGTTTCACAGTATGAGGTGCACAGGAGGTCTACACAGAACTCTTCTGAGGAAGCCCCTCCAGGGCAGGTCTATAATTTATCCCTGGATCTCCAGTTCCAGGCACCATGCTCTCCAGACTGAGCAGTATTGTCAGAGACTTATCGAAGGAATTAAGGGAATTTCTCCTTTAATGATCACCATTTTGTCATACACACATTATCTAATTCTTTTGACTACATATTATGTGTTTAGCCTGCTACACTAACCACCTCATATGAGTGTTTTATAGCTTGCACTTGACCTTTGAATAATGATACTTACTGATGGATATCTGGTGGATAAAATGGTCCTTATTTTATATGTGAGGAAACTGGGTTTAGCTAGATTGAGACACTTCCCCAATGACACTCAGCTATGAAGTATGAGGACAAGGAGGAGAACTGAAAATCTTCTACTTCAAGGCTCTCACACCACAGATTTCCCAGTTATGACCCTTGCCTTCTTTGGTTACTGCTCTTTGGGCAAAACAACTCTTTTCTGGCACTAAGGGACCCAGGAACCACAGCAGTGGTCAGATGGTGGAAGGGAGGCCAACAGTCCCTGTTTCTTGGCCCCTCTGCTTCCCCTGTTCCTTGAACCCCTACTGCCCATCTCTGGTCAGTGATATGCCCTGGACACAGGTGAGGAGCAGCAGGAACAGGAGCAGAACTTGGCCTCCCGGTCAGAACTCCAAGCACCAGGGAAAGGCAAGCAGCTTGGTTTCCATGGCAACCTGCCCACCCAGTCCCTGCAGCCACAGCCCCTCTCTGATCCCTGAGGCGGAGGCTGCAGGTGGTCAGCCCTTGCCCACGTCAGCCCCCACCGGGCTCAGGCTAGAGTCAGGCTGCTCCCTCTGAGCTGGAGCTTAGTCTGCCACGGTTCCCATGGGGACGGCTGAGGGCACATGCTGCCTGTGGTCAGCTCTCCTGATCCCAACTGCCCTGCAACTAGGGCAGCTCCTCTCGGGCTCAGAGCCTTTAAAAGAAAGATTGAGCTTCTGGTGCCTGAGCCACCCCCAACCAAAGGCAGCTGTAGGAACTTGGAGTTGGGGGCTTTCTGTGTCACATGCAGAACACCCCCTCTGTTCCAGAGCGACCCGCCCCTAAGGAGGGGCCTGGAAGACAGGCCATGGAGCTGGTAATTACACTACAGTATGGCCCAGCAACGCTGGAATGGAAAAGGAAGAGACTGACCAATTCTGGGAAAGTTTCACGAGGGGTGAAGAGAGGCATTCCAGGCAGAGGGAGGGTTCTGTGAAATAAAGTTTGGGGTGCTGTGGAACAGGGGAAGGAGATGAAGCTGATGGAATGGGCAGAAGCTTTCTGTGGACGGCTGTGGAGCTCTGCCCGGGACCTAGAAGGAAAGAGAGGCTATTTTACACAGGAAAGCCCTGTGGCTGGATCAGTAATTAAGCAAAGCTTCAAGGGGCTGGGAAGAGAAGCTGCTTAAAGTGGTGGGTGCAGTGAGATGGTTACAGAAGTCTTGGAGAGGAAACTGTCTGGTGACTAATCTTTTGGAGTCAGGCACCTCTCTCCCTGGGGTATGGCAAGGGCTTGATTGTGTACATTTCTGTGGAAATGGCAAGAACAAGGAGCCAGGAGACCCGGCTGTCAGCTGACAGATGCCTCACCCACCTGCTACCCCAGGTCAAGTTAGACAGGG